ATTGTCTACACTGGCAGGGATCCTCTTGTGCAAAAGCACATCTCTTGTGCAAAGGCACATGCCAGTGTAGACACTCTCTTAGGGTATGTCTACACTACCACCCTAGTTCGAACTAGGGTGGTAATGTAGGCAACCGGAGTTGCAAATGAAGCCCGGGATTTGAATTTCCCGGGCTTCATTTGCATATTGCTGGGCGCCGCCATTTTTAAATGTCTGCTAGTGCGGACTCCGTGCCCCGCGGCTACCTATTCCGAACTACCATTACTCCACGAACTACCTAGTCCGTGCCGCGTGTCCGCACTAGCGGACATTTTAAAATGGCGGCGCCCGGCAATATGCAAATGAAGCCCGGGAAAGTGTAGACATACCCTGACTCAAGTACTCTAATGCAAAAACTCTTGCGTTAAAGAATATTTGCACAAAATCTTGCCAATATAGACGTAGCCATGATGTATTGTATCTTATTTGTGGAACAATTGTTGTATTGACTACAGCAATGTACACCCTAAGTATAAATGTCATGGTAGTGCTTTTATACCTAAGAGGCATTGAGCCCACAGAGAAGGAAGAATGAGGTTCACCCTCCAGCCTTTGCTGCAAAGCAGTTAGCTTTTAGTTCATGCAGTAGCAATTCATGGCTTTAGTCCCTGAGGTCACAGGTTCGATTCCATCTGCTGACGACCCAGGTCTGTTGCCTTTGATGAGTGGTTTTGTTTCTTGCTTGGTTATTTACTCCAAACCTAGATTCAGAAAAAAAATACTGTGTGAAACTGTCAGCATCGATTCAAATGTTACCCTGTTTAGCTCCTGCCAGCAATGTTTTGTCGCTGAAAATGCCTACCATCTGCTTACGAAGCTGATCTCCCCAATTGGTGCACAAGCACATAGGGAAACATCAGAGCTGCTCCCAAGGTCTTTTGTTCCATTAGCACAGAAAGAAAATAGGCCCACACACCATCACATGTGGAAATCATAAAAGGGAACAGCAAAAAGTGCTACTTTTCCTCCATTCGAGCGTGAGTTGGCTGCTCTGCTTTCAGTGAAGCTGGAGGAATGGAGCTGTGATCCCTGCAGCATTGACAGGCAGCAGTGAAAGATTTTGCATCCTTCACTGTTTTCCGCTTCTTGTGTCTGTGCCAAATGAATTCTCAACAGGCGTGTCAGTCAGAAGAGGGGCAAAAGAACAGAGGGAAACCAGCTTTTTCGTTCACGTGGGCGACGGCTGAAAAAGCTGCTTTTCTCTTCCAAAACGGCCCTGGTTTGAATAGGAGAGATTAATGAGGAACTCACTATCCATCGGCACTGGCTTGGGACACATAGAGCTGCCCGAAATGTCTCTCGCTTGCTCCAAACAGATCTAGCCTCCCCCGGGCCTAGCCCATTTCAGCTTCGCTTCCTTTCCATAAGGACGGAAGAGGAGCTCAGCCTTCCGACCACAGCCACCTTCAAATCAATGCCGTTCCCATCCAGCCGGAAGGTGCCTCTGAGAGCCTCCCTCAGCTCCAAAGGGCAGCACGAGCTCCGACAGACTCCAATGTGATTTTAACCCTGGAATGGTCCCTTTGCGTAAAGCCAGAAGGGAGCTTAAATTCAGATACCCCCAGGACTGGGCAAACACCTGCATTCCTCCAGGCCAGGCCAGGGACAGACTAAAGAGGCTCCCATAAGTATTAGCCCCCCAAATGGAAGCCAGAGAAGTCTCCCAGTCACCCCCAAAGCAAACGGAGCTCCAGCCATTGCAGAAACATTACGAGCCCTCTCCCACCTCTGTTATTTTATATCCCCTCCCCCATGCATCATAGACTCTCTGCCATCGTGGCTCATAAACACTCCTTCAAGAGTCAGTGCTAAGCCAATCATTCTCCTTTGCACAGCACAAGGACTTTAGGCCTCCTGGGAAAAAAGCTGCATTAACCCCCCTCCTCGAGAGACATCAGGGTGGGGGGTTTTCAGTGCCAGTTACAAAACTAAAGCAGCTGTCCAGTGTCCCAGGTATCATTGGAAAAAACAAAGCACAAACAAGAGCCATCGATAACTCGCCTGATTTGCATTCTTGGCTCCCACTGATTGCTCTCTTTAAATATATTAGAGGGATAAATACCAGGGAGAGAGAGGAATTATTTAAGCTCAATACCAATGTGGACACAAGAACAACTGGATATAAGCTGGCTAGTAGGAAGTTTAGACTCGAAATTAGACAACGGTTTCTAACCTTTAGAGGAGTGAGGTTCTGGAACAGCCTTCCAAGGAAAGTAGTGGGGGCAAAAGACCTATCTGGCTTCAAGATTAAGCTAGATGGGTTTATGAAGAGGATGGTTTGATGGGAATAACGTGATTTTGGCAACTAATTGACCTTTAACTATGACTGGTAAATAGGCCAATAGAGGGATGATAGGAATTACTATAGAGAAATTTTTCCTGGGTGTCTGGCTGGTGAGTCTTGCCCACATGCTCATGCTTCAGCTGATCGCCATATTTGGGGTCGGGAAGGAATTTTCCTCCAGGGTAGATTGGCAGAGGCCCTGGAGGTTTTTCACCTTCTTCTGTAGCATGAGGCACGGATCATTTGCTGAAGGATTCTCTTCATGTTGGGGTCCTTAAACCATTTGAGGACTTCAGTATCTGAGATATAGGTGAGAGGATTATTCCAGGAGTGGGTGGGTGAGATTCTGTGGCCTGCACTGTGCAGGGGGTCAGACTAGATGATCACAATGGTCCCTTCTGACCTTAAAGTCTATGAGTCTATGATTCTGGCTGGCGTCCGTCAGTGCTCCATGCTTGAGAACTCAGCCCTCCTGGAGCTCTGCAAAGAATGCTCCTCCACCCTCTTCCTAGCCTGGCATAAACCGGAGGGAGCGGACAGGACCCCAGCTAGCAGGCCTCTGCTGCCGCTGCCTGGATTAAAACACCGTCGCGGTTCAATTCGGAAAACTGGCCCACTGAGGCAACGCTTCGCTCTCCGACCCGGAGCCACTGCACGGGAGTCACTGGGGTTACTCTCAGGCTGAAAGTGCAGTTTCCCGGTGTCAAACAGCCACATATTCTGCACCAACAGAGAAACGACGGCATGAGAGAAAGCAGCTGGTCTGCAGGCCTGCGAGCCTCACCGCAGAGCAGGCGCAGCGTAGCAACCGCTAAGATAACCCAGTCCTGACCTGCTTTTTAGGCCCATTTTGAACAGAACCCGCCAAAGGTCATTCATGTCGTCTTCAGAGTCTGTAGCTGGCAAGTTATCGAATCGGGTGCTTAGGGGACCACCCTGGAGCTGTGAAGACCCTAGTTCACTTTCCTCTGCTGGTACAAAGCTTCTGTGTGACAAGGGGCAAGTCATTTAAGCTCAGCTCATCAAAGGTACAAGGCTCTGTCATGTCCCAAGAATGCCCCGTCCCGAGGCAGTGTGGCCCAATGGCCACAGTCTATAACACAGCCTTGGGGTTCAGGAGAGTGCAGCCTAATGGCTAGAGTCACTAAGAGTCAATAACACAGCGCTGGGGTGCAGTACAGCCTAATGGCTAGAGTCACTAAGAGTCAATAACACAGCGCTGGGGTGCAGGGCAGCCTAATGGCTAGAGTCACTAAGAGTCAATAACACAGTGCTGGGGTGCAGGGCAGCACAGCCTAATGGCTAGAGTCAGTAAAAGTCAATAACACAGCACTGGGGTGCAGGGCAGCACAGCCTATTGGCTAGATTCATAGGGACTTGGGGCAGCAGCCCCAGTAGGGGAGTTTGGGCCCACCCTACTCCACCGGCCACTGCCCCAGGGCCCTATCCCTGAGGGAGTGATCCACCACTCGCTCAGTGGGAAATGCTACCTCAACACACTGAGCTCACCCCTTGCGCACCCTCCCTGGGTCACTGCTGTTGGATGACCCCGTAGCTTCCAGGTCGACAAACTCCACAGCGCCAGTTTCCTGCTGTTCCACTGGCTCTGGAGGCTCAATATGGTCTCCCAGGTCTCCAGCCCTTGTCATCTGGGCTCCTAGCGGGTCCACTTCTGGAGCTCCTCCAGTGGGTTCTTTCTCTCCAGCGTCCAGCCCAGACGGAGCTGAGCTGCTCCCTTTTATACTGTTCCAGCCCTTGGAGCATGCCCAGTGCGGCTGGGGAGAGAGGGGGATTTCTCCTTCCACAGGGGATTAAGCCCTCCTGGCCCAGTGGGGGATATGCACATACCATGACACTCCCCTTGGCTGGAAATGGCAAATCGGAGCCAATGGAGCTGAGAGGCTCTGTGGCCGGATACCCTTTAGGTAAACAAAGCGGCACTGACCTGCACAGGCAGCGGGTGTAATAGGCAGGGGAAGGCATTCCCAAACCGCCAGCCTGGCCCCACCCACACTCCGCCCCCAGAACACCTACTGTAGGCATCTGTGGGTGGAGTGTTGCTACCCCCAAGCTCCTGCCCTCTCTGTGCTCCGGGGCTGGGAGGCTGGGGCTGTGTGCCGCCCCACCTCCTGTGATGGGGGCGGGGCTTGTGCAGAAGGGGCGGGGTTGGGGGTTGGCTCCCCCAGCCCTACCTTCACCCACTACCCATGCTGGCCCACTAGTGGCTTTCCCAAAGTAGGCCAATGGCCCACTTTGAAAAACACTGTATATGGGAACGCGGCCAAACAAGTAGCTGAAGAAGAGGAAATTTTGCCTCTGTCCAGCCCTAACCTCACTCTCACACACCTCCACCCCAGCTTCCTGCCCCACCCGCCGACACCACCAGCCCCCTTACTCTGAAGGACCCAGGCAATCCGCTAGTGTTCTGTATTTGTATTAACTTCTCCTTAAAAATACATGAAAAAGGGAATGATACAAACCTGTGTCATACAAAAAAGTATGTTTCCTTCATTTACATAATCTACATTTCAAGAAGGGCTTGGTTTTTTGTTTGCATTCAAACATTCTTCTGCAACCTTTGAAACCCAAACACCGAGGCAGGTCTCTGGGAACGACTGGCCCTAGTATTCACCGTGTCCTGACATGACTGCGGCTCACCTTGTCCCATGAGTTACTACAGCGTGCCCTGTAAAAGGCTGCCAAGCGAGAACAATGTGTTGCTATCTGTCACAGTGTATTCACATCCCAGTGCACAGGGAAGGATGTACATTGCCCCTGGGAATGAGATGGCACCGCGCTCCTGGCAATGATGGTGTGACGGGGTGTGTACGCCCTGCACTGAGCTAGGAAGGCTTAATACTCTGTGGGGGGGAGGAAGTCCCGCCCCCCCAGCCACACTGGGCATGCTCCAAGAGCTGGGGTAATATAAAAGGAAGCAGCTCAGCTCAGTCTAGGATGGATGCTAGAGAAGAAGGACCTAGTAGAGGAGAGCCAAAAGTGGACCAGCCAGATGCCTGGACAATGGCAGCCGGAGACTCAGCAGAATGGATCTCCTGCAGATCCACTGGGTCTGGAGGCTTGGAGACTGGCACTGTGGGTCCTGATTACCTTGAAACTACAGGGATCACCCCAATGCCTGAACCGGTAGGAAGTGACCCAGGGAGGGTGCACAAGTGGTCGCTCCCACCCGAGTGAGCTCAGCATATTGCAGCCAGATTCCCCATTGAGGATCACTGACCCACTGACTGAGCCCTGAATTGGGGCCCAGTGGAGTAGGGTGAGCCTGGACCCCCCCTACTGGGGCTGCTGCCCCAAACCTCTGAGACTCTAGCCATTAGGCTGTGCTACCCTGAACCCCAGGGTTGCCTTATTGACTCTGACTGACTCTAGCCATTAGGCTTTCCAGCCCTAGGGTTC